CAGCCCAGTTTATTTTGCATTTACGAGTGTATTGCCTGAATGGATTTAAGTGCTTCATGTGCATGCAATGCTCATGATGGTCAGAAGAGGGCATTGGGCCCCCTGGAACTGGAGTTATGAATGGTTGTTAGCTGCTATATGGGTGATGGGAACTGAACCTTGGTTCTCTGCAAGAGAAACCAGTGCTCCTAACCATTGAGCTGAACCACTGAGCCATCTCTCTATCCCCTGAATCTACTCGATTTTAAATAATTAAGATATCAACTCTCTGTCCTCTGTGGTACTAACCATGATTCGAATGCTCAGTAGCCATTGCAGTTAGTATCCACCATAGTGGACAGTGCAGAGTACATTTTGGCACTGAAGAAAGTTCTAATGATTGGGACTATTCTAGCAAAATTGAGACTTGGGACAGGAAGGGAGGCAGATAGTGACTGGAAAAGATCTTGGAGGTCCATGTAGGCTGTTCTGAGGACTTTGGAGTCCTTGGTGCAATGGGAAGTCTTGGATGGCTTTAAGCAGGGAACTCAACATCTTTGATTTATATATTTGAATTCTCATTCTGCTGTACCGAAAACAAACCAAGAGGAGGACAAGACCGGTTAGCTATTGCAACTGTCTTGGTGAAGGTGGATCACTGGTTACTTACTATAGAAGGGATGGTGAGAAGTAAATGGGTTCAGGACGTAGTTTAGAGACAGAATCAGGTGATTTTAATAGACGGGCAGTGTCGGAAAATCATCAGGGAAGAATCAAGGACGATGTCCCCTTTTGGGGTCTTGGGCAGCTAACTAGATGCTATGTTCATTACAAAGAAAAAACCTAGGGAAATAGTGTATAGGTAGTAGAGTTGGAGAGAGGGAGGGAGTTGGATGTTAAGGGCTTTATTCTTGGCCCTTTGTACTTCAGGTACTCATTATAAGTGCACAGTGATCTAATTGGTAGGACAGAATGAGGAGTGTACACTTTTAAGATATTACAGTACAATCCCCTCAAGTGTAACTACTTGGCAAAGTGCAAATGATTTGCACGAAGGATTCATCAAATCACACTGGCTGAACTTGGCTGAGTGGAGACCTTCACCTACCTGATGAGAGACTTTCATCTGCTGTCCAGATACTGCTAGTGGTATCCTGTGTGTCCAGCCTTTTTTATTGTTCTTTGGAGCTGTGGTCAGTTTCCTGGATCAGGCTTGATCACTGCCTATTAAAGAGCACAGTGTTTATATGTGATTGCTTTAAAGCTGTTTTCTGCACATGTCCTTCATTTAATACACCTTCTCTCAACTTCCCATCACCACCACCCCCCTCACTTGCACCATGTACATTCCTGATGCTTTCTGTCTCTAACATGGGCATTTGACTGTTTTTGATCACCTTCCTTGGGTTTCTGGATGGTGCTGGAAAGAAAAATCCTTTCTTTTAGAGGGACAATCACTTTCTGATTGTGATTTTTGTTGAAAATAGGGAGAAAGCTGTGTGCTAAGATGTTGCTTCTTTGTTACTATTGAACAACTCCAAGATGCCATCAGCATGCAGGCCCACTGTCCTTATTTTGCTTCCATTAGTAAATGGCATGTGTTTTGCTATGACAGCTTATTACTATCAGTGTGTGTGTGTGTGTGTGTGTGTGTGTGTGTGTGTGTG